CGATCCAGTTTCCTATTTTTATATGTGAAGATACTAAGGCCTAGAGAAGTTATGGAACTTGCCTGGGACCATCAAGCTAAATAGGGACAGAGCTGAGGCAGCACTCAGGTTTCTTTACTCCTAGTCCGGACTTACCCACCCTAATTTCTTGAGTTTGGCTTCTTTCTGAAACTGCTCTTTCAACGGCCAGTAATAGCCTCAATCACCAAATACAATGGCCCTTTCTCAGTCCTTATCTAGCTTGGCAGTGCCATGGACTAGAACCCTGCTGTCGCACAGAACGTCCGGAAGCACATGCCCTCCCTGGGGTTCTCAGCAGGGTGCTCCTCTGACTCCCAGTCCCTTTTCACAGGGGGAGCTACTTATGAGCCTACCTAAGGTAGGTTTCCCTGCTCACATCCACAATGGGGTGGGGGGGCTTCTCCTCTCCATCTGCATACTCACCCCAGGGGAACTGCATCCACTCTCACGGCCTCACCACACAGGGCGCTTGAGCCCAATCCTCCTGCCAGCCCTGATGTCTCTTCTAAAGGCCAGAATGACTTCCTAAGACAACCCCTGAACGATGTGAGCGTAATACAAAGGTTATCCTGCAAGGACCCAAAATTCGTGCTTGTGCTTTGACTTGCCCTCTTCTGTCTACTACCCCTCTCCCCACTGCTATGCCTCCTAACTTGATGGCATCACTGAACTCCGACACCCAGGTTCAAAACTGGGAGGACTTGTCTGATCAACTTGCTTCTCCCTATGCTCAACTAGACACCAGGATTCACCCATTTTGCCTCCCCAGATCTCTTCCCCACCCAGTTCCTCATTGCCTTTCCTTCCAATTTCCCAGTTCAGACTACAAAAATCTCTCTCTGCTTTTAGGCATCTTCTCTGGTCTTCCACTTCAAGCTCTCCTGACTTGGCACCCTACTACCCTACCATGGAGGGTAGCGCATCCTACTCTATATTCAAAGTATATGTGCCTTAGCAAAGCAGTCTGGGAACCCCACAATCTAGCTCCGCTCTTCCTTTCTAACCACTTCTCCTCATATTCCCACAAGCCCTTTGGTCACATAAGACTGCCCACTGCTCCCTGATGGTGCCCTGCATGTTTGAGTCCTGCTTCTGTGCTTAGCTCACACTGTTTCTTCTTCCTGGATGATGAGACAATTCCAACTGAAATCGTTTATGTAAAAGAAGGGATTTATTGGTTCACATAACTTTCAGGTCCACAGAGCCAGCTTCAGAGATTATAATAATTACTGTCAGATGTCTTTTTGGCTTCCTCTGTCTCTGTCTTCTCATTCCCTCCCTCACGTCCCAGTCTCTCACAGCCTCAGTCTGTCCCATGATAAGCAAGCTTCCTCCTTGCAGAGTAATGGAGACGTGGAAAAGTGGCCCCAGACAGCTCCTGGCTTTCATCATTCCAACCCAGTGAAGATCTTGCTGGGATCCCAGATGAAGAGCTTCTTTCTCGTACTGACTATCAAATTCCAAAGGATTCTGACTGGCCTGGACTGAGTCTTACCCCATTCCCCAGTCACTGTGGCCAGGGAAATGGGATTTTGTAAATGGCAAGGCCTGGGTCACACACCCACTTCATATCTTCAAGTGGCAAGGGGCAGTGATGGGCAGCCTCACTGGAACAGCCTGGAAAGAGTAAAACAATTGGTGTCCACTGAACTCTCATTTCTCCACCTAGCTGTCTTGAGGCATGTGTGATCCTGAGCCCTTGTCCAAATTAAACTCCATCATTGCCTCTTCTGGGCCTTCATGGCACCAATTTGTCTCCTTCAACTGACTCAACTCTCCAAGGACAGGAACTGGATCTCTCGGTGATCAGTGTAAGGTCTTACTCAAAGATGTGACTCCAGAAAATTTTTCACGGTCTGCAATTACTATGCCTGATTATTTGTTTATGAAGTTATTGCCTGAGTCCCCTGGGACTTGACTTGTTCACCACTGAATCTCCAAGCACCCAGAACAGTGCCTAACGCATAACAGGTGCTAGATAAATACTGGGTAAATGAATAAATGAATGGTTTGAGTAGAAGAAAGGTTACAAGTCTTTGGTGTTCTGAGCACCAATAAGCACAGTTGCTTTTTTAATTCTTCTCACTTCAGCAAAATTAAAGGTAAGGCAGGAACCCCCTCAACATTTTGTCCCCATCATCCCTCCCTCCAAATTTCTCTACGCACTCCCTATACTCACCACCCTCTGGCAGTCTCAGGGAAGGTGATGCACATTCGTGTCAATACCAGGTTGCCCAACCATACTCTGTACCCTGTCTCTGCCCATCCTCTTGGGGCTCTGCTCCTTCCACCACTTCTTCTTTCCTATACCTTCAACATCTCCCTCCACCTGGGCCCTTTCCTTTCTGCTTCTCAGTGGATCAGGTCCCACCATGCTAGCCAAACAAACAATAAAAATAAAGCCCTTGCTCAACCCCCTTCACTCCCTCCCTTCTTCCCTCTGTCCCTTTCCTTCGAGAACCCATGTTTCTTTTCCAGGGGTCTCCATTCATGGCCTCCACTGGCTCAGTCCCACTTACTTACCTAACGCCCACTGCAATTTGACTTTCTTCCTGCCACTCCACTGGGACTGCTTTTGCCAAGTTCACCAACAACTTTCCAGATCCACTGGGCACCTGTCAGTTTTCAGCTTATTTGACTACTGCCATTACCTGACTCAACCTCTTCCTTCTGGAAATTCCTTCCTTCCTTCCTTGGCTTACATGCTGCTGCTCCACCTTGGTTTCCTTTCCATCCCTTAGCTCATCCCTTCTCGGTTTCCCTCGCAGCCTCCTCTTCCTAAATGACTGTCACATGGGGCGTGTGCGTATGGTGGGGAGATGCATTCTCTGCCTTTTCACTCGGCCTGGTGAGGTGACTCATGGCTCCCACAGCCCAAAGCAGCACAGAATCCCACACTGACCCTCCCCCCCAGGTGTGTCCTACATCCTACCCCACATATTTGACTGCCTGCCAGGGATCTCCACTTAGATGATCCATAAGATTCACCAACATGAACAAAGCAAGTCATCATTTTTCTCTGCAGGCCTCCCTCCTGTGTTGCTCCATCTCAGGGAATGGCACTACCACCCCACCGTAGCCCAAACCAGGAATCCTGGACTCATTCTTGCCTGTATCCTTTGTTTATTTATTTTTAAAGATTTTATTTTTTTAAGTAATCACTTCAGCCAATGTGGGGCTCAAACTCATGACCCCAAGATCAAGAGTCACATCTCTTCCGACAGAGCCAGCCAGGCGCCCCCTTGTCTATATCCTTTAAAATGAAGCTCCTCGGGGCGTCTGGGTGGCTCAGTTGGTTAAGCCTCTGCCTTCGGCTCAGGTCATGATCTCATGGGTCCTGGGATCGAGCCCCGCATCAGGCTCCCTGCTCAGTGGGGAGTCTGCTTCTCCTTCTCCCCCTGCCCCTCCCCACCACTTGTGCTCCCTTGCTCTCTGTCAAATAAGTAAATAAAATCTTATAAATAAATAAATATATAAAATGAAGTTCCTCCCCAACGCCCTTCCAATTGATTATCAAATAAGTTCAATTATTCTATTGCCCAAATATCTCTTAGTTAGTTTCCTTTTCCCACTCCACTGCTTTAAGTTACTTCTTAATCTTTTCCCACCTGGATCACAAAAATAACTTTCCACCTGGTCTTTTAACCTCTGGGCATGGCTCTCTCTAGCCCACAAAGGTGATCTTTCTCAAGTGCAAAAAAATGATCCTGCCACCCATTTCCTTAGAACCGTATGGTTCTTGAAAGTTGTCATCATAAGAAAAAAATCTGTAACTATGTGTGGTGATGGACGTTAACTGGGCTTATTGTGGTGATCATCTTGCAATTTACGCAAATTATCAAACCATTACATTGAAATCCTGAAAGTAATATAATATTGTCAATCACACCTCAGTAAAAAAAAGCCCTCTTGGTGGCATCTTACTGTATTCAGAATAAAATATAAAGTTCTTAGCACTGTAGACAGACCTTTCATGATCTACCTCGGTCTCCTTTTTCCTCCTTCATCTCTGGACAGTCCTCTTACAGACTGTGCTCTAATCAAACCAAGTTATTTTACACTCCTAGCCTGCTCCATGTGCTGACATATCTTAGAGCTTTTTTGCATGTTGGTCCCTCTGCCTGGCATTCCTTTTTTCCACCTGGCTAGCTACCACTTGTTTTTAAGACTCAGCCCATGGGTCACTTTCTCCCTGAACTTCCTGCCTAGAGATGGTACCCTCCATCCTCCCACAGCCTCATGGGCTTCCTGCTCTGAAGTATAAGCGTCCTTTACATGTCACTCCCTTCAGTCTAAGTTCCTGAAGGGCAGGGACCTAGACCTTCCTCTCTACTTCCATGACACCATGTATATGTCCAGCATACAGTAGATGCTCAGTAAATGCTTATGGATGCAAAGATGGATTGATTGATGGATAGATGGATGGATGGATAGTTGAATGGATGTATACACTACTATTCTGTCTTTCCCAAGTCTCCTCTGAACCACCTGCTTCCACCAAAGCCAAAGTATTCAGTGGCAGCTTCTCTCTGTTGCCACCCACAAACGGCCCACACTTCTGAGGCAGCAACAGAAAATGATTTCAGGAGCTGTCCAGATGATGGTTAGGGAACATTCTGGTGTCAGAATCAATGTCAAACATGACGATGGCCACCACCTCCACCTCCAAAAGGAACCCAGCACCAATCTAGCACTTGCTATTCTCTCACACTGTGCTCAACCAAAGCTAATGCCATCCCATCTGCTGATGGGTACTGGGTCCCAGTCTGCCAGCTCTCCTCTGCCCACACTGGTGGTGGTCTAGTAAGAACCCCGTAGGGTTAGAATGGAAAGGACACAGGCTTTGGAAGTAAACAAATTATGGTCTGAATACATCACTGTCACTGACGAAGCTGTGTGGCTTTGAGCAAGCCACCCATCTTCTCTGAGCTTCTCTTCCTCATCTGTAAGATGGAGCTGATGGCTATTTTTCCTCATAGGTTGATATGAAAAAAACAAATGAGGATAATGGATTACACTGAATATGACGAACGCTACGATCCTCAAAGACTTCCAAATTATTATTCCGGCTTATGTACAAGTGAGTTTGAGGTCCTTGTGAACCTCATTTCTTCCTCTTTTCTTCATTTATCAAGCATTTATGAAGTACCTCCTGTGTGCCACACATTGGGCTCAGTGCTATATTATGAGCAAAAATAAGTCACCATCCCTGCTTTAGGGAGCCCTGGTAAGGAAGGGGCACCAAGACTAGCAAAGGAGACAGATACATTACACACACAATTAACTGACAATATGTAATAAGCATTAGTGCTCTGAGACCCTGGAGGCAGGTGACCCAGATTTGATTTTATGGCATGGGGGAGCCGTCCCTATAAAGTAACAATTTTCCACAGAAAACCTATCGGTTGGCTATGACATAGAGAATCTAGGGTAAGTTCTTGGCCATGGAGTACTATCCTTACATGCTATTCCCCTTTTTTCTTTCCTCCTCCTTGGTTGAGAAATTAAGTGAGTAGGGGGACAAATTCAGGGCACTGACTATTAGCCTTGGAGGATTTTATTTTACTTAAATTTTTTTGTGCTATGAAAAGCACAATGTTTTTCCTCTTCTCTGTAAAGAAAATTAGAACTAAAGATGGCTCAGCAGATAAAAGCTGTGGGCGGTAAATACTCCCACTATTCCCCCCTGCATTTCAGGCTTCTAGGTTTCTCTTTGCATTTACTGGATCTTAGAGCTAGAAACCTGAAAGAGGCCTGAGAAATTCTGTGGTGAAAGCCCACGTTCTAATTAAGAGATGAACAAACCGAGGCTCAGAGGGGCTAAATGACCTGCCCAAAGTCAGTTTAGAGAATGAGTCAAAATTAAAACACAGTTCTCCTGATCCTCCCCTTTTACTGGTCTGCAAATCTCCCAACCCCTGGGATCTGAGGCACCTGACCCCAGGCAAGTTCCTTCATCTGTAGCCATCCCCGGTGGAGCCAGGCTGTCTCCATTTCTAAGAATCCTGGAAGCCACAGACAAACCGCCTCTCCCTCCAACATGTCACTGGGGCTCTTCTCCCAGAAACATCCTGTTTTTTACTAACAGGATACTTTCAGATCCTCCTCTTTGGTTTGAGAACCACATCTGCAAGAAAAGTTTGGTTGGAGGTGGTTTCCTCAAAATGCCTCTCAGGACTATGCCTTTCTTGGCTGACAAAGCTTTGTGGTTGAGGTTGCTATTCTGCAATTCTCTTGGCCTTCTTACCCCCTACCCCTGCAGGATGGAACTGTAATTGATGCTTTTACAGTTAGAACCTCGCATCAAAGATGTCAAGACCCTGAAAATGAAGGCAGTTCCCAATTTCGTGGACCACTTAGAACAGGGAAGGAGCTGGGGTAAACAGAACCCCCAGAGGCAGGGGGAGAGCCACTTGTCTTGACTCCTGGTCCAGTGCTGTTTCCCACTCTTTGCAATATCACTCCAGCCTCATGGGCTGAAGCAGCTGCACCATCAAAAATGTCACATCAGTTATGACAACACAGTGTGTTATATAACTGGCGCTGCAGAGCAGGCAAGGGAAAGAAGCCATGAGCATGAACCACAGCACTCCCCTTCTGGCTCTCAAGGAAGGTAAGGCCCACGTACTTCAGAAGAGAACTCCATATGGGAAGGGAACACCCACTAATCAGTCAAAGGAATAAAAACTACAGTTGACATTTGTATAATGATTTCTAGAACACGGTTATAAGGGCATTTCATATACTACATTATTTACTGCTCTCAACAACCCTATTAGGTATTTTTATTATCAGCCCCATTTTACAGGCAAAGAAACTGAGGTACAAAAAGTGAGGCAACTTGTTTAAGGTCACACACCTAGTTAGTGGCAGAGCTAAGATTTGAAGCCAGGTAGCCTGGTTACAGAGTCCATGCTCTTAATCACTCTCAATTTTAGAGACGCATGCTAAACGGCTTCTCTAAAAAAGAAATTAGCTATTTGCCTGAAAGGGTAACAGGCCGCAGCTCCTTCCTCTCCTTCCCCTCTATGCTAATGCTGGATTTGTTGGATGGTTTCTTTTCTAACCAGTATTGTGTATGAGCAGGAAGCACAGGACAAAATAAGAATGTGATACAAATTTAAACAAATTCTTAGAATGGAGATCATGTGAGCACCGTTAAGCTGTTTACGGTGATGCAATCCATAAGGTAAAGTGCCCTACTCATGGTACCTGCTGTTCTTAAATTCACGTAGGATGTGTATACACACAAACACGCACACACACAGAGTTTTCTTTTGCCAACACCGAAAGTTGTTCTTCGCCAGTGTCAAGCCTTGGGGTAACCCTTTCTAAAATATTTTCCCATTTTGAAATCATCCCTTTCCCAGCGTGTCTATTGTCTTTCAGATCACGGTGTGGCTCTTGTGAGAACGGTCTGTCTAGCTTCGTAAGAAATGAGAGCCTGAAGACGCCCTGGGAGACAGGGAACCAAGTCCCTGCATCCAGATGGACTGACCACATGTCAGAAAAACAGGACAGTATTCTGCTCATATTAAATCTTCAGTGTGAACAGAGAGAGGGTACTGTGAGCTGCTGAAAAACATGAGTGACCTGCCCTATCTTTAGCAGGTGTGGCACGCTGGGGAGCACACTATAATCTGGGGAGTGGCAAGTGCTAGAGAAACAAGACAGTACTGACTCTGAGCACCGCGAATCTAATCTAGTCCCATACTGAGAGAACGGAAACTCCGGATTCTGTTAGAGCCCTGTCGATCCTGAATGAAGCCTCATCCATTTAATCTAATCAGGAACAACCCTTTCAACAAGCAGACAGGTTCTACTTCAGAATCCAACAGGTAACTGGGGTTCAAGAGCTCCACAGCTGATTTCCTGAGGAGATCAGGTGGACTGTTTGCTACTCTTCTGGCAGGAAGGTCTGCTGGTATTTACAGGTCAGTGAACAGTAAGCAGGGAGAGAGCACCATCCATCAGCAAAGGAGAACTCATCTGCTACTTGATCTGACGTTCTGTTTGTGCTCACGCGGTCTCCAGAGAGAAAGGTGCATCCATTTGAATAAACATGGAGACAGGAGGAAGGGGGAAGGGCAAAGCAGCCAAAGAGAAGATTGCAGAAATAACAAGTCCACAAATCTAGAAGAGTAGTTCTCCAGAGTGCTGCCTCCACATGGGACCCTTCTGGGATGTGCAGGAAACGCCCTTTAAGACGGCTGCACTCTAGAGTGATGGCTGCAAGTGGCCATTCCCTTCCACTTAGTAGGTGCTGCACAGCAGCGTGCTGAATGAACACAGGCTTGCCATGAACCTAAGCCAAACAGGAGACACCCTAGGTACAAAGGCAGGGTCAGCTGGTGGGAGGACACCCCCAGCTTTTGGCAGCAGGTGACGTCTTAAGACTCCCTGCCCCAACAGGATGGGGTCTGTCCTCAGAATCATAACCTGTTGTAAGGGCTGGGATATTTGTGTGAGAAAGGATGTCTTCACCAGGCAAATCCTGGAATTTGTTTTACAGTGGAACTGAGCAGGTACCTTGGGAATGAGCTCACACCCAAAGTGCTCCATTTTACTGCGTCCATTTATATATAAAGCCAGCAGCTTGCAGGCCACGCCTCAATGCCACCTTCCAACTCTCTATCTTCCTAAAAATCCACTTACTGCTTCAGAGACAGATAGCCTGAACGTGACATCACAGAAAACTCAACACTTCAAATGAGGGCGAACCGTGGTACGTACAGCAACTCCACAAGTTCCTTTTACATTTTCACCAGGTCGGTAGCCCTAACAGTTGTCACAGCTCAAAATGGGAAGTACCTTAAAATGATATTCTGTTGCTTCCATACTTCATAAAATATAATTCTTCAAGAGAGCTCTTTGTAAGGGTTTTGCTAATTAAGTAAAATTAACACCTTTTAAAATTTTGATTAGTCTGAATAAAGACTCCCACAGATTGCAAAAATGATGCGGCCATATCACAGGTGAAGTCACGGCCTCCTAATGAGCAGAATTATTTAAATACCACATATTAAAAAAGGTCCCTGATTACTCATGGTGTGTGTAAAATTTTATTTGTGCTGCTTCAATGATCATTGTTTATTTCTCAGTACTGAAATTATGTTTTGGATTGTCTGACACAGAGCTCCCAAAGGCTAACTCACGATCACATATGCAAAGAAAAAAAAACACCCCAGCAAGCTATGTTCAAATGAAACTTTTAATAAAGTATTAAGAATCAGGCTTTTAAATGACGGTCTAATTTGTGGCATCTCTTAAATGGATGGAGGTTTCCCACTATAACACGTATCAAGCAAAAGAACTTCAAAGGTCAGTCTCCCTGCAACATTCCTAGCCTGATGTCAGTGTTAATACTTTTTTCTGAGCAGCATCTACTAGTCAGTCCTTTATCATATAACTTCACTTACTATGGCATATATGGAACCTTATTCCTTCCAATCAGCACGCCACAACACACGGATGAGCATACGGGCTCAACGGAATGCTCTTTGCTCTTCTGGAAATGCTGATTTAAAAGGGTCTGGTGGTATCTGAATATCAATATTCTTTCAATCCAACAGGAGCAATTAAACTCCATTCCCCATTAGGAAATCATCAAATTCTCACAGGGCAATCACTCAAGGAGGACTCTCTAATTTCTTCTATCCAGGTGAAATAAAGCAGCATCCAAATTAATTCATACACATGGCCTGATAGGTTGGTCACCAATCACACTACACAGGCAAGTCCAAAACTGCTTTCTTAAATGCCACCCAGATTTTTGGGCCCCGCCCCACCCACAGTACAGGTCTCCTGACTCAAGTGACTTTCAGTCAAGTGGCGATTGGGAAAATCATCTCTGCAAGGGAGGACTCAAAAGAATTTGTCACTAGGATACAGTGACACCAATCCCACATTTTGTGGTTAATAAAACAAGTCCTGCATCCAGCTTGGCACAAGGCCCTGATCTGATTTATTTCAAGCCAAGCTGGAGGGCTCACAGGAAAAGCTGCCATTCATGAATGCTGCAGGAGGACAAGATGCCAGGGTCCCTTGTGCAAAATGTACACGGCCAGAAATCTTTTTCACTGACGTTTTGAACAAACCTAGCCTATTTCCTAAAGAGCTGGTGTATTTTTTAAAAAAATATCAATACTTTTACCTACAAAATCTCAGTTTTGCCTGACATTTTTCTCCAAAAATGTGTCCTGTGGGAGTAAGAAAAGTGGAGGGGGGGGGAGGGTACACGGAAAAGAGAAGAAATGCTCTGATACCTGATTTAACCATCTCAAACATCAAAGGCTTGACTTTTTCCCCCTCCTCAGTGTAACTAAATATGAGACACATAAGACTTTCCCGGGAAAAGTCTACATATAACCTTCATTTAAGATTTCCTGCCCCAGTATATAATTAGGAATTTTCATTCTAAAATGGCACACCTATTTCCTCGGAGAACTCAGCTCTCTTTGAATAAAAAAGGCGACGTAACCTTTGGGGGATTCAGTATATATTTTTAAACTTCTTATTAAATCAACCTAATTTATGGGGCATGTTCGCGGAAAAGCAGGTAAGGAGTTGCCTTGGTGGATGCAAACTTAATTTGCAGACTCTTTCCACCTACTTCCCCGAGCCTTTCCGAATGCCTTCGGCCCCCTCCGAAGCGGCTCGATTCTCTCCTCCGGGGCCCCGACTCCGTTCCGAACACTGCCGAGTCCCTCCGAGCCCCGCGCCCAGTCCGCACCGAGCCGAGCCGAGCCGAGCGCCACCGAGCTGAGCCCCATCGACTTTTCCGGCCTCAGCTGGGCGCTGTCCACCACTCGCAACGCCTGAAACCTCACCCAGCCCCGGTGGCTGGGGCTTCCACCTGGCTTTGAGGCCGCCACTGCAGATTACAGACTTCTGAAGTTTTAAAACATCCCCCTCTGGGAGAGAGGGATGGCGCTGCTTGCATTTACCGACCTGCAAGGGCTCCAGGCAGATGCAACATGCACCTTGTTGCAAAGAGCAATTCCCCAGGCCCCGCCTCCCCATCCATTTGGGCTGCACAAGCTCCAGAGAAGCCCCAGGCCAAATTACCCGTAGCTCAGAGGGGTACGGAGAGCCAAGGGGACCTCTGCAAAGAAAGCCCAAGGGAGCTCTCGAACGAAAATAAGAATATGTCAAGCAGACGTGGGGAAATTGTCTCCGAGTCGCTACTCCCTACCATCATGGCGCCGCCTAGAACCCGCTTGTCATGCCTGTTACACATGCAAAATTTTTTGCATCTTGGGTCTGAAACCGCAAGCATGCTTCGTCTCCCACCCACCTTTCCGCGAAAGGGGTTTTTATTTTCCATTGTTTTCCTACGGGATGCAATTACTTCAGCTATTCTGTCAAGTTGAAAAATAATCATTTTTGTTTACTGCACAGCAACCCCTAATTAGGAGCTGTGTGTGCACGAAGGTGTCACAGCAAAGCGACGTGGAATCCTCGCTAAACGGTCTTAACGAACTCCTCTGTCCCGAACCGACAGGCCAACGGAAGCAGCAGGGCCAGGAGGCCCTGAGGGTGCACACCCCTTCCCCGCAGGTCACCCCCTCCCAAGCAAAGCCGCCTGTGGGCTCACCAGGAATTGCCAAGTGGATGGGGCAAGAAGCAAGCCGTGAGAGTGGGAAGGAGAGGCGAGGCTCCTTACTGAGAAAGTGTGGAAGGGAAGGAATATCCCATTTTGTTTTAATTTTCAACCATCACTCAAATCCACCCCCAGTTAATTAGGAGGGGAAAATGATATCTAAGGCAGAAGGGGGCGGTGGCAAGTGGGGCCTGAAATCCGCATTGTGGGTAGATTACAAGGAAGATGGCCTATGCAGAGTGTAAATAAATACACTGATAAAGGCCACAGAGTGCAGGAAAACTGCCCCTGTCAGGAGAGCAAACGCTGGGGGGAGGGGGGGCAGGCGGAGCGGGGGGAAGCAAGGGACGGGCATTCAGCCTCAACCAGCGTCCCCCTTCCACCTCTGCCTTGGATACAGCTGTGCCAGTCACACCTGCTTGGAAACCCACCCCCTCCCCTACCACATACCCCTTCCCCTAACCCTAGTCCTTTTCTGGGGGACGGGGGTGGGGGTGGGAGCAGAAACCACAACCTCCAATTCAGCACCAAACCCTGAACAGCAGACACTTGATCCTCCACCCCAGTCTAGGGCTGAGTCCCCTCCATGTTTTAGCCAAGTTCAAAATCACTGCCCCAGGAGAAGAGCACTGGCAAGTGGGATTAAGGATGTGGAATGGGGGGGGGGGGGGCGGGGGAGGAGGAGAGAGAAATACAGAATGAAACGAGACACAGAGACAGAAATGGAGGTAGTGATACACCCAAGGAGCAAGAGTAATGATCATAATCATGCCAATAGTGTGATGTTCTGATCAATATGGCGGACACTGTCATTCATACAACTACAGGCGCTTCACTTCCCTCCCCGCCCCCGCAAAACAACAACAACAACAACAAAAACACCCACCAGGGAGTTGGGGTGGAGGACCCAGAACCAACGTAGGGCGTGGGGGAGGGGAGTCAAATCCAGGTGTGTGTGTGTGTGTGCATGTGTGTGTGCGAATCAGAAACCAGGCCTGGAGAGCAATGTGGAATGAGCAAGATAATACAAATGACAAAAAATTATTAATAAAAGTACAAATCCCAACGCCACAGGGACTTACTTCATCTGCTTCACAATGGTGCTTTTTCCTGATTCTCCAGCCCCTGTTGGGACAGACAGGGGGAAAAACTGGTGAGTGTCAGCTTAGGGGAACGGGGTGGGGGGGGGCATGGGGGTAAAGCAGGCGAGAGGGTGAATGATCCTAGGCACACAGTGGTGCCAAATCGGGGACCAGGTCTCCCCAGGCACGAGTAGGGTGGGAGAGCGGGCGGAGGTGGGTGCGGAGTCGCCGGGGTCGGGAGATGGGGGTAGCAGCCCCAGTCCTTACCCAGCAGGAGTAATTTCACGTCTTTGGCGGCGCTGATGCCATCCTCTTTGAGGTTTTTCTCAATCGCCTTGCTCCGCTCGAGGGCGGCTCTCTCCTCTGCGCTCAGAGTACATCCCATGGTGGCCCCTTCCCTGCCACAGCCCGCACGACTCGGCTGGCACGGCTCCCCGGCTCGGCGCGCCCCCCACCCCCCCGGAGAGCAGAGCCTGGGCTCAAAGGGGAAAAAACCACGATATCCTTCCCTTGGCTGAAAACAAAAATGTCGGGAAACCAGAACCCCCCAAAAAGACGGCCGCTAACAAGATTCCAGCAGCGGAGACTCGCGGCAGCTGGCGGGCTCTAGGGGTGTCGAGGCGAAGGTGGCCGGGGTCTGGGGCTCCGGGGCCGAGGGAGGAGGCGCCCGCGGTCCGAGGAGGCGCGGGCTGCAGGCACTGAGGCTTGTGCACGACCCAAAATAAATAAAATAATAGTTGAGGCAGGAGCCGCAGCCGGAGCCGGCGGAGGGTGGGGTGGGGGGCAGGGTGGGTCCTTCTGCCGCTGCTGCCGGAGGAGGAGGAGGCGGCGGCGGCGCGGGGTGTGGAGGGAGTGAGTGAGGGGGTGCTGCTAGTGCATGTGCATCGCGGGTCCTCAGCGGTCGGTGCGTCCGCGGCGCCTTCGCCGACCCCTGCGCGCAGGGCAGGGCTGGGCAGGGGGCCGGGCCGGGCCGGGGGGCAGGTCTCTAGCGGGAGGCGGTGTCGCTGTCTCCCAAAGCTCGCACCGCTTGGTGGAGCCTACCGGAGAGGGGAGAGCGCGAGGGAGCCGCGGGCAGCCGGGAGCTCGAGGGGGAGAGAGAGAGAGAGAGAGGGAGAGAGAGAGAGACAGGGAGAGAGAGAGGCTGGGAGGGAGGGGAGAAAAAAATGAAGGGAGAGCCAGCGAGCGCGCGCGCCACAGGCCGGGCGGGGGAGGGGGCGAGCGCAGCGCGCGAGTGCGCCAGCGGCTCTGCGCACCCCGCACGGCCAGCCGCCCGCTGACGTCAGCAGGGCCGCGCGCCGGGCCCCCGGGACGGGGAGGGGCGGGGGACGGGGGAGGTGCGCGCGCTGGGGCTCGCGTCAGCTGGCGGCGGCGCGCGCGCGCGCGCGCGGCGCGGCCTCCCCTCCCCCAGGGCCCCCTAGCCTGCGGCTCCCCGAGGTGGGCGCGTGCGGGCTTGACGGGGGCGGAGCCTGGAGCCGGGCGCGCGCCGGGGCGTCCCTCTCCGCCCCCGCCCCCGCCTGGCGCGCTGGCAGCGCGGACCTCCTGGTCAATGGGAGCGCGGGACTCGGCCGCCCGCGCGGCGGTCAGGTGGGCCCCCTAGCTCCGCGCCGCTTCGTTCGCACTCCCGCTTCCGCTCCATCTTGGCTCCAGCAGCTCGGCTTCTTGGTTACTCTCCAGCTGCCGGGGCCGTGGCAGCCGGGACCAAGTGACCTCAGCGAACGCGAGGAGACAGTGGGTCTGAGTAAACTCGCGTTCCCGAGAATTTGCTTGGGGCGTGGGGGCAGATGCGGATTGTCCGCTTCCTGCGACCCACAAACATTAATTGAGCACCTAGTATGTGAGGGAGGAAGCTGTGAGGAGAGGAACACAGCAGGATGAGACAAAGCCAGGGCCTGGTCTCAAGGAGCCTCTGCTTCCCTGTGCCGTCGCGGACCCTGCTCCGAGATTCCCGGCCATAGGTATCAGCGCAGGAGACAAGTCCCACCCTGGGAAGCTTTCTGGTTGGGAGGGACAGGTTTTCATGAGCTTCTAGCACATGCTTACGTTCAACACAGTTTAAACGCTTTTGCTCATTTTGAACGGTTTAGCTTGGTTGAAATCTTTGCATTTAATTCCCTTGTCCGGCCCCTTACCCAAAACACAAATACGTAAAATGAATTTTAAATAGATTTTTGGTGAGAAGGGATTTTCTCCCTTTCGTCAATTTTTTAAAAACACTTCCCCCGCCCCCATCTCTTTTTCAAATGAAGACCCAGAAACCCGGGTCAGTTATTTAGCATACAGCTAATCAAATACCGAGGAAACACGTACACATTTGCCAAAGATCAGGCATGTTCTGGGTGGTCGGTCTCTGAGATTTTGAAGAAACTAGTTCTCACTGCACAAAATGGTTTTACAGTCAGTTCCAGCAGACAGCCCCAGGGGCCCTCCTAGAGAAAGGGGCCAATAAGAAAGGTTGCATGGGGATAGGACAGGCAAGAGGCCAGCAGAAAACGTTTTTTTTTTCTAACAGTTGGGCACTTCTGTGGCTCTGAAAGCAAACTTGTGTTTCATTTCAACAATAGAAAAAAGCATCCCTGTTTTGGAAATGTTACCCAGCATAAAAATATATTTGCTATGGGGGTTGGGGCGGGGGGAACGCAGTTAAGGCCCACCCAGAAGAAAACATTTTTTCCCTCGAATTTTTTAATGTGTTGTCTTTTTCTATAAATAGCTATGTCAAAAGTTGTGTGTAATGCAATTTGAATATTTAAATTTGAATCACATTTTATGTACTCTAGGAAACTGACAAAGGGCTCCTAAAGAATTTGTTTTATAATCGCCACCTCCCCCGACCCCAGCCTCCTTTGGTGTATCTCTGGGGAGGGGAGCTTAAGGGATAAATCTGGTTTGCTTAAAATCAGTATGTCACTAAAAATCAGCCTTCCAAATCCAAAACAGAGCTTAGGTACCCAACATTCTATAGAATCTATTATTTCCTCTACAGGTTGCTAGGATGATTATGCTGATCCATCTGATACAGGGAAAAAACTCAGCAACTTCTCCCAGATTCTGCTATCCCTACAAGGCTGCATCTGAAAGACCAAAGAGGTAAGAATATAACCATTTCTTTAAAGATGATGGGTCAGTCTTACATCTTAATACTCTTCCACATCAAGTCGTTTTTAAGATGTTAGGCTGTTGGGGAATTGTGGCTTGTATGGTTAAATCAAACTATCCTTGCTTTTAGTTACATTTATTCCTTCTTGGTATCACATCTAGTGTGGTGAGGCACAGACCTGGTTTTGTTTTTGTTTTTGTTTTTTGGTGTGTGTGTTCTATTTACTCTGTACTTACTAAGCAGCTATCTACCTTGCACCAGGTGAAGTTCTAGGCAGTATAGATGTTGTATTTCAGGTTTGTCTACCCTGTTTTCCTTTTCTGGGTCACTTTGCATCTTTATAACTGGGCTTTATAAAACAACTAATAATAATCCACTTCATCTGTATAGTGCTTTACAGCTCATGGAGCACTTTTGTAAAACTTAATCTCTTAGGATCCTCCCATGTAAACCTCAGTTGGGCACTGCGCTGTGGGGAATGTCATGGCAGAGTGGAAAGAGCCAGGGCTATGATTCCAGATCAGCCTGGGTATCCATTTTACAGTTGAGAAAACTGAGCCTCTGAAGGGGCAAATAACTTGTTCAAGGTTAGGCCATCAATAAGTAATAAACCGGAGCTCCTTTTATAGGTTCGTGGACTATTTGGGCAATAATATGTTATATAAATATATAAAGCATACTTTTTAGACTCTGAGAAAGCTCATAGCCCCAGAACCCACACATATCTGCCCCCTCAAAGGAAGATGAAAACATCCCAGTTCTCTGTGCGTTATTAGTAATTAGATAATACCTCAAGTGTTTAATTTTTCCACAATTAATTCCTGTGGGAATGGGTAAATTACAATCCTAACATCAGGAGTGATCAAGGACAGATTCCATTTGCTTTTGTTTTGCATGATCACCAGAATTATGTGTCTCTGATTATTGCTTTTGGCCAGAGAATCATGCGCGTTACCCAACCCTCAGTCAACTATCCCCCTGCCATATCTGCCCACTGTTCAGCATATTTTGAGTTTTAAAAGTAGGTAATTAGAATGTTCTATACACTCTCTAAAAGAGGCAACAGCAAAAGCCTACATGAAGTTGCCTTTTTGCTATATGTGGCTCCTAATGCTGGAGGACAGTAATTTATGACACACGCAAGATTCCCCTGTTCTGACTTACAGAATGTGGGCTCTGATTAGATGAGCTGAATTTCCCTATTTCTTCCCATTTGTGATTACTTTAATTAAATACGCATATATTGCTCTCCATATTCAGGTATTTGTAAGCAGTATTGAATTTTATCTCGTGTTCATTAATCTTTAAAGTCCCCAAAACGTGGTAATATTTGCATTGTTAAAAATTACTGAGCAAATGTCTACACTAGGCAGAGTATTTTCTTTTCTTTTTCTGTGCAGTTTGATTCATGATAGACTAGAGAATTTTTACAGGGTAAAACTACTCATGAAAGTAATATGTACAGCAGTACCTGTTCACATATATGTAATATGCACACATGCATAGCCAGCCTCAGCGATGTGTATGTTACTACTCATAGGGTATGAGTAAAAAAATCCTTTACCTATTTTTTTAAAAACTTAAATTTGTTTAAGATATTTATTTGAAGGACTTACTTAGTATGTAAAAATGCTTAACTTGCTATACCAGCCTACAAAATTTTTTTTTTTTTTAAAGATTTTATTTATTTGACAGAGAGACACAGCGAGAGAGGGAACACAAGCAGAGGGAGTGGGAGAGGGAGAAGCAGGCCTCCCGCCGAGCAGGGAGCCTGATGTGGGGCTCGATCCCAGGACCCTGGGATCATGACCTGAGCCGAAGGCAGATGCTTAACGACTGAGCCACCCAGGCGCCCCTACAAATTTTTTTTTTAATGTGAATTTTTCTCCTTCATTTTTAAGAGTAGAAATGTGGAAAAGCAAGTTTGATATTTTTGTAAGATAATTTATTTGGGGATTCAAATTCCCTGTTAGACAGTCATGACCTTTTCCCCTTGCATTTTTATATATAAGTAAGCCGTCTTTCATTTGTTTAGTGATTGTTAAGATGTGCTAGAATGTAGATGCCTCGTCCAGCTGTCTGAAACAAAATAAAAAACTAAAAGTTAAAAAATAAATAAATAAATACGCATATATTGATAACCTGTGTGTTTAATATATTGATTTAGATTCAAAGGAAAGTTGAGGTAGGTATAAGCTTGGATTCTTGAAACCCAAGGACTGTTTTTTCAAAACCATTCACATCAGAATTAGCTGGGGTGCTACTTAAAATTCAGTTACCCATCTTACTTCTATGGAGTCAGACTCCTCTGCAATCTGCATTGATAGCTGCCCCCCAGGTGATTTTTCTGTACACAAAGTATTAGATCTTATACATTATACAGAATCTGTATGTGGCAATTAATTCTGCTAGGAGCTTACTTTTTTAAAGTTCAAATATCTCACATGTTTCTGAATTCAACTTTATGTTTACTAGTTTTTTATATTTTTTGTCAAAGGAAAATATAAAAATTGCTGTTCCTTAGAACACCACTGTCATGGGAAGAAAATAGGCTAAAACGTGTGGTTCATGAACTAAATGAATCCATACTAAATGTCAAGTGAATTAGGCATTTTAGGGAGAATCATGGATCACTAGAGATTTTAAGTTTCCCCACTAAGGGTTTCTATTATGAAATTGATAGCTCACAATCTAACTTAGTGGTCAGTATAATTTAGAAAAATGTCTGGGTCAGGCTAAGAGATGACTTAGTGTTTTCTGATAGATATCTGGGATTAATCAAGGAAGATGCTTTTTTTCCCTCAAATTTCTGTTTATGTCCCTAGAAGACAGCCCCCCCCCCCCATTTAGTCCATATTCAACATGTCTCTGATATTATTTTGAGCACCTCTCTCAGACCTACTGGAGCAAGGGTTCTCAAATGTTAAGTGGTGTTAAGAATTACCTGGGATGCTTTAAAAAATGTGGATTCCTGGGTCCCATCCCTAAACTTTCTGAATCAGTAAGTCTGAGATGGGGCCTGGAAATGTTCATTTTTACAATCATACCTTCTCCCCTAAGTGATACTGATGCACTTTGGGAAACACATCACTGGAAACACATTAACTCCTTTGAGGCAAGGGAGTTGTCCTATCACTTTGTGTATGTCCCAAAAGGTCAAGTGTGGCCCACTGTCCACAGGTCATCAGTCTTAATACTTGTAAACTACATTCACCTATCTATAGGCAAGGGTTAAATCAGGTCATTTATCAAAGTTCTCCCCAGCTCTGAGACTTCTTGATTTTTCTAATAGAAATTTTGTGACTTGATGATTTGGGAAGATTTTTAAGATTGAGTAAGTTCAAAAAGACAGTGGCTTTTTTTTTCAAGTCAGGTTCTGAAAACTGAAATGGTATTGACTTTAAATAAACAAATGGGAGATTTATTGGCATTTGGGAACTGGTGAGAAGAGAGCATATGCCAAATGTTTTTGAAGTCCCATCAGAAAATTCTTAGCTAAATTTTGTGTCTTGTTTGTTATTTTGTTGAGTTCATGAAAAAAAAAGTAGTTCCTTTATTTATAATTGTTAGAAATAAAAGATGCCATGGGAAGAAACAAAAGTTTTGTGTATTTTTAAATGAAGGGACTTGCATGAAGGAGCAGATTAAGGCTTGTAGGTAATTGAATTGAGCTCTTAAGTTATTGAAATCCATTATGTGGTCACTCTTGAGAACATTATTTGTTGAGTGTACTTTGATGGTTCAAGAACCCCAAAGAGGGTGTGATTTGTGATTTTTCTCAATTTAGGATAGCAAGAGAATCCTCCAGGGATGCATTTGGCTCAGTCTGAGTGGAAAGTTTGAGGGGGTAGGACTAGTGCTTTCACACTGAGAAGATTGACCAAGAGCTGAAATTGAAGTTGGAAGCTTGGCTTATTATGAAGGCATCACCTACCAGCCATGGTCTGTGTTAGAATTTTCTTGGAAAAATTTTTCTTTAGAGATCAAGATTCTTATTTGTTATGATGGGAGTAATAGTACTTTTCAACTGCCCTGGGCTGAAGTTGACAGATAAGATTAGCAGGTACGTGTTTGTAAAGTATTTATTTAATACTTACTAAGTCCTCCAGAAGAAAGAAGATTTCCTGACACAAAGATTTCTTGCATTATTTATCATATTTTCTATCTCCATAGAGCCTTTCATGCATGCAGCTCCAACACGTTTTAGACATTATCTCATTAGTCTTCTGTAAGCTTCAGGGTCCAAAGAATTATCATCACATTGCTCTCTACAAATAGAAATGTTTTTCTTTGTTCCTGTCAGTTGTACTTGTGAAAGGAAAAAGTAGGTGAATTTTTAACTGAGTCCAGTTAATCCCAGTTTGAACTGGCTATAACAAGTACGACTAGGGGGATGGGAGGGGGGCATTAATTAATTCAAATTTATTAGAAGTAGGTTGGTTAGACTGATTTAATTTTGTGACCTGTCTCCATCCTCTACATGTGATTTGGGGTGTTCCTGAAGCCTGCCAAATACCAAGAACATGCTGTTCCAGTGGGGTAACATCTTCTTCAGTTGAGCCGACATTTGGGCATGCTGTCTGTTCCCCAAAGGCCTGAAAAACCCTGACCTCTGTGACAGTGAAAAAACATTTTAATGAAATTCCTATGTGTGTGATAGGGGCACATCTATAAAATTGAAGAAGGGCAATTCAGAAAGAGACACATTTTTAACCAGACGCCTATCCCAGAGGACTTTTAGCTAGAATCATTTAGAGCTTGACGTAGAAAGAAAAGAACTGAACTGATTTTCCTCTCAAGCTGTCCCTGTTGTCTGCTGCCTCTCCCCATGGCCACTGTAGCTTTCGGAGAGGGCTAAGAGGAGAAGAAAGAAAAAGGAGGAGGAAGACCCTGAATTAGTTATATCCATTATAAATTAAAAACAGTGCTGTTCCTAATGACCAAAGAGAGGACACATACAGATCTCAGTAAAAACACTGAATGCAGTAGT